TGTAGAGAGAAGAGAGAGAGAGAGAGAGAGAGAGAGAGAGAGAGAAGAAAGGAAAAAAGAGAGAGAAAGAGAGCAACCCGCGGCAGCCAAATAAATCTTTCTGCATTGCGCGGAGATGCTGCGCCAAAATTGGAATCTCGACGAATAATACCGCACACGGTAGCTTTTTACAATAATCTTCCAAGCGAATTTTTCGCGTTAAGGGCTCAAGAAGATAACAGACGTACCGGCCGGTGCCAGAAATATCCGCATTGAGGAGGTAGAACCGACCAAATCCAAGATCGTGGTACGCACCAGACGTACGAAAACTGTGTTGATCGATGGGTAAAGAAAATATTTTTCTTCTAATGTATCTACGTAATAAAGAAGAAACCAGTTTATTATATATCTGAATCATTATCTGATCCAAAGTCTCATGTGGCATCAGCAACTAATTTGATGCCTTTCTTCAATTTGTGTTATCATCAATCTTGCTACATTCATGACATGTCACGCAAATAAAAATACTAGTCTTATCCTGCAATAAACACGTAATTATTTCAGTAATCGTTTAGGAATGTTCAATGTGCCAGGCTCTAAGGCGTGGCTCGGAATGATAAGGCCGAAGCAGGAAGCTTTGAATATACCAGGACCCGTCACCGAGGACTTGATTATATTGGTAAACATAATGAACGCATTCCGCTAATTAGTCGCTCCTCTCAAGTCGATAACATATCTCAAACAAGGTGTTCAAACTTGGACATGTACTATCAGCAGGAACGCGTAAAAAGAAACGCTTTTAAGAACATTTTATGTTCAATTAAAACTGTAGTACTGCTATATAATAAGCAACTGCTATAATCTTCAAAGGAAGCGAGTTTCATTTTAAATATAATTTCTAACTCTAAACAAGCAACTGCTATAATCTTCAAAGAAATCGAGTTTTATTTTAAATATAATTTCTAACTCTCGCCGACGTAATGCGAATAATATTTACAATGAATATTGGAGCAGTTGCAGATCTTTTATTTCCAAAGATACATATTTTAAGCTTAGTATCCATTTTTATTTTTACATCGCAGTAACTATTAAATTATTTTGGAAATCATGTTAAAAGAAGGATTCTTTCATGTTGAAAAAAGAAGAAGATTTTATCCTTTTGCAATATTTTCTTTGACAGCTAGTTAATCTGACAGGTTTTAGCGAAGGAGAACGTCACGTTGAAATACTCATTAGGATTGAAGCAACGAACTCCTCGCAAACCCAAGTTCTCTTGGGGCTTCATCGACTGGGAGAAATGCTCGGCAGGTTGCGGCCCGGGAGAGCAGATATCGAAACCCCGTTGCATCGAGAAAATCGGCGGATTGGTAGATAATAAATTTTGCAGAAACATCACTAAACCGGACGCGAAAGTCAGATCATGCGATCAAGCTCCCTGCATACTGCGGCAAGTTTATGCTTTTACAATTTTTCGCAATTTGAAATATATATAAATCATATAAGATTATATAAAAAAACAATTGTAATTTTTAGTAAGCTTTGATCGTAAAATGAAAAATTAACAATGTATCAAGGAAGATAGGCCATATATGTTACGCAATAACAATAACATTTGCACGACTATCGCTCTTGTCATCATCACTGTATTTCGTATCATGTCGTCGAACAAGATTGTCACTTTTATCTAAGAGGAACTAACGAATGGACATGACACTATGCGATAATCGACGTCGCCCCGCCGTCGCCAGCTAATTAAAATCTCACTCTTATCGTTTCGCATGCGATTCCAGGTGGATCATTGGCGAATGGCAAGGCTGCGCACCGTGTACGCCAGGCTGCAAGAGAAGGCGTGCTGTCAAATGTGTACGACCCGTCGGCCGTGGCGAGCAGGATCTCGATGTGGTCGAGGACAGCTACTGCCAAGGACCGAAGCCAAGGGAGTCGGCATCGTGCGAAGTCAGCCGACGAAGACGAGAATACAGAAGTGCCGCCGACGGCAAACGCGGGATCTTCGCCACTCGCTCGAGCACGCTAACGCGACAAAACGACTTCATTAAAGCTGCTCGAGTGCGTCCTAAGATGACGGCTTTAACCGGCGCCGTCGTAGAAGACCGACATCCGGGTGATCCCTCCACGCGGCCAGGACAAACTGGAAATTCGTCCAATCGCTCTCGTTTGATCGGCACTTGGTACGTTAATGCGCTTCCAAATGAGACGACGAGCTTAATTTCATCAGACGCGACTCGAAATTCGACTAGAGCTCATCGAGATCGTTCTCAGATAGATAAGAGATCGGGAAATACATCGAGTGATAAAACGGTGAATGCAAATAAGATTAAAAAGAACGAGGTAGTGGTCGATAAGGAGGACATTCGGAACCTAACGCTCACGATTATTCTGGAACGCGATGAAAGGAACGTTATTACGAATTTCCCGAGGAATTTTGAGCCACGACCGCCGGAGAATAGTACGGAATTTACCTTGGTCGGCATGGATGCTCTGAGGTACATACAAAGAATTCAGGAAGAAGCGCGTGCGTCCTCGAAGCTCTCGATTTTTCGCAAATGACGCGTATGCGATACGTGATGAAGTAGATCAATGACGTGAATAATTGTACGAGGAAATTCGAGCGTTCCTCGAATACGATGAGAGAGGGAGAGAAAAAGAATTTATTATCATACGAGATATATATCGATTACTCTCGAGCGGAAGCGTCTGCTCTTTTTCGGAACGGCTGGCGCGGCACAAACAAGTGAAGAGAACGCGTTTGGAAGACGAATCTGCGTCGATTCGAGCGATGGTTATGCGATCCATCAAGGAGACTTTTACGAGTCGTTGAGTAGAACGACGGCGTACTGGTGTGCTGCTCTCGAGCATGAAACGCGCGGCGCGTGCAGATTGCTGATGCCCGAAGCGATAAAAACAATCGTTACATTATACGACCCAAATTATACTTACGGCGCGCGCTTTTATATAGGCGTATCGGATTTTAACGATCGGATGGTAGAAAACTCGGCCCACGTCGATTGTTGAGAGCAGCAAGTTGTAAGATGAATCGATTAAATCGGCGACGTTGTTTAAGCCCGGCTAACACAGCCTTAATTGACGATAAAGCGGCGATCTGTTGGAGTCCGAAGATAATCTCTCAATATGCGGCGATATACGCGGCGAGGACGACGGGCAACATAAATTATACCTGAACAACACGGAGGAGGATGATTTCCCGCGACCCACTAACGAGTCTCGCCGTTGAGCATTGATCTTTCAGATTCATCGTTCGCAAGTTATTTATGGCGGGAGCGATACTTTGTAATGATCCGAGATTGCAGACGTTTGCCTCCCTTAATGGCCCGTGTTCTGGAGGTATCATTGGGAATTGCCTGGCGCGTGACACTTTCTTGTATCAATAAAGATTAAGTGGTAAAAAAACGCGCGTCATTAATCTTGAATGTACTCGTTTGTACTCGTTCCACGTGGTTTTCGTAATGCGTCTGACGTCCGTTTGTCTGTCTAGCATCGTGAACGAACGCGTCATATCGCTTGACGATATTTCCTGTTCTCCATGCGTCGCTTTTTCGTATTACCTATATGTTTTATTTGACTTGACGGCCTTCATCTCGTCAAGCTGATCAATCACGTACGGCAATACGAATCAGCAAAGAGCAAGTCTTGCAACATAGTGCGTGATACCTATCTTTTCGATCCATATCTAAATATTCATATATTTCTGAAACTTATACATGGATGACAATTATGTACAAAGATAGCATACGCTTATCGCGTATAAACGTTTAATTTTCTTTAACTCAGCGCTGTTTTTCCGCGGTATCGATTGACGGATTAAGATTCTTAATTCGTAATAGAAACCGCGCGCGGACCTGATGTCAGATTATGATGAACTAACTGTTCGATTAGCTTAATCGCCTGAGCGCCCTTGTACACCTTCTGCTGGCTCGTGTCGATGCCAACACCAACGAGATCGCCGGCTTCCTGGAATGCCTTGTCCGACAGATTAGTCTGAAGAGACTCGTCCGTGAACGGTGCCTGCATCAGTACAATCTTCTCGATGGGTATCGAATCCTTGATGATGGATCCCGGCTTCATCGTGGTGAATCTCTCCGCGTCGCAGGTGCGCTTACGCTTGTCCTCGTTTGTCATCGCCCAGTCGTAAAGGATCTGTCGGAAGTCTCGGGCGGCGCTCATCCCTTCGAGTTTGTCGTCAGCGCGCAACTTGTCGCGGGCTTTCTCCAAATAATGGGCTAAACCGAGATCGACGAATCTGTCGATCATTCTTCGTCGATCGCTCGGCGATAAGCTCTCTCTCTCTTTTGTATCCTCAACCTCCCGCTCATCCGATCGTCGGGTTTTTTTGGGACACATTAGTCTGCAGGGTCTTGTACCTGGAGCGAGTATCCACCGTATTGTATCTTTGTGACAAAGTTCTTGCAAGTTTTCAATTTTTTTATATTGCGAATTGTACTACGTCGAAAATATTACCAACGTGAAAAAAGCCGTGATTATACCTATACATTCTTCTTTTTGCCTCGGCACACGACCTTTACACGCATCCAGATTTGCCTGCACGTCGTCTTCTCCCGGTCTGGCACTTGGTCTTACGCATTGGACCTTGCGGTGTCTCATACCCTTTTTTCCGTCACAGGCATTGCATTTACTCCATTGACTCACTCTCCATCTGCACGAATGACCGTCGACGGACATGAATTTATTTGCTTTACATCAGATTCGTCGAGCGAACGCTAATGTGCGCAAAACGCTAGATCGATGTTTATGCGATGCTGAGTTAACATCTTATTTATCAGCAAACGTATGCGTAGTACTGTCATCGTTAAAAAAGGAACTGAGATCGATCGAGCGGAAGCCAATAACATTCAGAGATTTTTATCTCAACGTCGCGGGCTGTACTGTTTGAGCTGTTGTTGTTAGGCGCGAAACAGTGACAAATTATATATTTTCTTATTACTAGGAGTAAAAAAATTTCTTGAAATATTACAAAATCCAACTATAAAAATAAAAATGCATCAGTACAAAACATCTCAAATTTTATGTTATGCTATCATAATTCACGTATTCATATTCTCTCGGGAAAAAATATATGTCTTATTTTATTATCAACTTAAAAATATAATTCCGCCTTAAACTTAAACTTAAGCTTAAATTTAAATTTAAAAAGTCTGAAAATATAATCTGCTCAAAGAATATCTTTTTACGTGAAATTAACAACGTATTGTCTACATCTATTATGCGAAACTTGCAACGTCTGGAATTTGCAGCTTACTTTGCGGGACAAGGGGCCTGATTACAGATGCGGCTCTTTGCCTCCGGACGCGGTATACCGTCGCAGAAGTTAGGCGTCACTCGCCCATCCTGTTCCTCGATGCAGGACGCCTCGGATATCTGCGCAAATCGATGACACGTCCTTCGCATAAAAGCGGTCGCATTCGCGGTCGCGTTAGGTACCCGCGTGCGCGTGTAACGTTGTCACATAAATTACCATTGTGCCACCATCGCACTTAGCGCTGCACTTTGACCACTCGACAAAGTCCCACATATATTTGGGCGTGTACGATGTATTCGTCGAGCTCACGTAGTATTTGTAATCGATACCAGGGTTATCTTGGGGATTGAAGAAGACGTACTAAAAGATTCGGTGAACAAAATTCATGTAATAAATTTTCAATATTTTTAGCATATTTTACTAATATAACGTGGTATTATAAATTAAAGAAATTTAATTGAATTATAATTAGTTCAGTGCGTACTTTTTATAATTTAAAAATTATATAAACACATTTCATCATTAATCCACATAGTGATGCTACTAATGATTTGGTGAAATGATATTTTGCAAGAAGTAAATTTATACAAAAGATAAAA